ATATATGAACAGATGAAAAATGATTAAGTCATCAAGTAATATAAGGTTTTAGCATAAGATTGCTAATGACATATAGACCTCAATATTTCTTACATTTATTCACTTTTTTATTGTGTTGTGGGTGTATACACATGCTTGTGTGTACGTGTGCAAACCTTGGCCTTCATGTGATGTGGTCGGCAGAGGAAAACCTCAGGGGCCAATTCTCACCAACCATGTGATTTCTGAGGATCAGGCTCAGATCACCAAGCTTGATACAGGTGCCTGTGCCTGCTGAGCCATACTGCTGGCCGTAGATCTCCAAAGTTTCCCAGGTGGAATCATGGTCTGCCTAAGTATGTTCAGCCAGGCAAAGTGTGGTGTAAGTAGAAGAAGAGAACAGGGAAACCTAATTGAATAAGGGAGAAAACGTCACTCAAGGAGGCAGAAGGATGGAAACACATTCCTTTGACCCCTCAAGTACACTGTGAAAATTCTTGATTCAGATAGGGACACGTGCAAAGGTCTGGTGGCAAACATACTGTGCACGTGTGGAATTCCAGCTCTTGGGAGGCTGAGCCAGAAGGATTCTGAGTTCAAGATCCTTCTGGACTATATAATAAGACCGTCTCTATACAAATAAATTAAATAAATGAAAAAATATATAAACTGGAAAAAGATAGAAAGACGGTCAAATTTTGGGACAGTTTCCAATGTGAAGTAATTTCAATTATAACTGACTTCTATATAAATAGAATTTACATCTTGTACTAACGCTAAGGACTTCCTGGCCTTTCCCTCTTTCTTACCAGTTGTGAGGTGTTCCTGCCCTCTTTTAGAAGAAGTACCAGCTACTTCTTGTCTTACTGCTTTCTTTCTCTTCAGTGGCCTTATCTTATGTATTATTCAACTTACCCTTTATTATGTATGTATTATCATTCAACTTATTATATATTTATACATTGTCCAGCTTTGTTCAACTAATTTTCAATTTAATCTTTTTATGTATTATTCTTCCTTCTTGAGGAGCAGTGGGTTGCACAAAGCACAGCATCTGTTTTTCTTGACACGCGGGCCACCAAAAGCCTTCTCTTTCATATTTTCAGTCCCCAACCACTTTCTGTATAGTATATAAATGCATTAAAAATAGAAATGATGTCATTCTTATGTTGGAAGTCTATTAGACTACAGACTTTCAAAATAAAATTAAAATCAAAACAATACAAGTTTGATTCGTGGTTAAAATGCAATGTCTAGAAACTCAGCCCCGAGATTCCCACATAATTGCCTTTCTGTTTTTCCTCAATCTGTAGAGCTGTGCTTTCCTCTGAGAATTCACTTCTGTGTCTCTGAGTGCTTAGCATAGTGCCCTTTCCATACACATAGCAGTGTTTCCCTATTGATTAATGGACCCAGAATTCATTTCACTTAATGGGAAGAGAAAGAAATAAAGCTACATTCTAATACTGCTATTATTAGACAGATGTCTGAAAGAGCACCTCCACACCCCCAGGTAGACATCTGGTAACTACTCCCAAAAGTGAAGGGTATTATTTTGATTAAGAGAAAACTTTAAATTACATAAGTCAAAAATGATAAAATCATTCATAAGCTTAAACTTTTATACAAATGACATTTGACTTCTTCCTTTCTGAAAAGAGACTCCTGTGAGTTTGGCTGTGTTTTGTGAGCATTCTGATGGTTGTGGTAGTTTTAGGGCTCTTTTTTTTAGGGTAGTTTTTGGAAGTGCTTCAGACAGAATAACTCTTCTCTACTTCTGAGTGCACTGGGAACCACTCTTTCCATGCCGTGTGTGTGGTCCTTCACTGCCCATTCTCAGAAGGTCTGGAAGACTGATTTACATGCCTTAGGTTGTTTGTTTGGTTGTTTTTCACTTTGCATGGAGACAGAAGGAAATGTAAGAGTCAATAATAAGTCACTGTCTCTTTAAAATCACCAGTCATTGCAAATTTGAAATGGGGACAGCAGCAACGATTCTGCTGGTAGGTGAACTCTCTGCTCTTGCAGAGGCCCCAGACTTGGTTCCCAGCACTCCCATGGTGCTTGCTACCATCCATAGCTCCAGTTTTGGGATCTGGTGCCTCTCCTGACCTGCACAGTCCCCTGGAATACATGTGGGCATCCATAACTCCAGTTTTGGGATCTGGTGCCTCTCCTGACCTGCACAGTCCCCTGGAATACATGTGGGACATTCATACATGCAGGCAAAATGCTCATACACCTTAAAAAGGCAATCTTTTTAAGTCGTTTAAAACACATTGAAACGGAAACATTATTATCTATCATAAGGAGTGATGTAGAGGCGCCTTCTTTTCTAACAATTTGTATGTCTAAGTTCAGCTTCTAGTAGGGAAAACCCAATACAGAATCATTCCTTTTAATGCGAGATAGTTCTTGGATGAAGCCTGGCATTGTCTTTGATATTTTGAAGGTTAACTTAAGTTGAAACGACTTTCCTTTTCCTAATTTTTTAAACCTTGCATTTAAATTCTACTCCTCACCCCTTTGTGGTAGCTTTAATTGTTGTGGCTTCATGAAAAATTTTCTTTTCTTTTTCTCTTTTTGAAAACTATATAAAAAACTAATTCTAATAGATCAGTCGCTGCTACCCATTTGTCAGAAGTGTGGCTTCTGCTGTCTACTGCCTACAGTAGCATGTCTATTCCTTAAGTGCCAGTATGCTCAAAACAAACACTCAGTTTTATTAGATGCCTTTACCTAAACTCGGGTAGTTTTTCAAATGGTAAAAAATACTGGCGACTAGTCTCTCACATTAATAATACTGGGAGGCCTTTTTTAAATATCAGAACATTGAAAATAAAAATGCAGGTCTTCTTTTTGTAGTGTCATGCTAAAGTTTTAGTGGTTTTATTTTAAATGGTAGAGTCCTTCTAAATATGTATACAGAAAAATTGGAGATGAAATTGTATGACAATAAATTCGCTTCCAAAGTAACACAGGGCATGGAAGTATGGGAGATTCTGAGTGGATAATGGCTGAAGTTGGCTGCTGGGTAGAAGAAATCTATTGTTATTTGTCTACTGTGCACACATTTAAAATTGTTAATGATAAAATACAAATTTCATAGGTTATGTTATTGTTAGAGATTTTAATATAAATTTATAAGCCTTCGTAAAAATGAGCATTACCTGAGATGTTAAATCCTGTGTCATCTTCCTCACCAATCAGAGGTGCCTGCTGGGTAGTCTGTCCAGACACGTTGTGTGACCCGAGATAATGACTTTTACAACAGCATTAATTCTCCTGCGCTAATTGGTTCACTTACCTGTTGCATTGGTCTGCCCACTTTACCTCGGCCTCTCGCGGCCGTCTGTATTTTGGCAGTGTTAAGTATGACATGGATGGGTAAAGCCATGGATTATTCTTCTTCTTCTTCTTCTTCTTCTTCTTCTTCTTCTTCTTCTTCCTCTTCTTCTTCCTTTTTTTTTTTTTTTTTTTTTGATTTTTCGAGACAGGGTTTCTCTGTAGCTTTGGTGCCTGTCCTAGAACTAGCTCTTGTAGACCAGGCTGGCCTCGAACTCCCAGAGATCCGCCTGCCTCTGCCTCCTGAGTGCTGGGATTAAAGGCGTACGCCACCACTACCCGGCCATGGACTTCTTTTACGAGTTGGCGTACAGTATTTTTTTTGTTGTTGTTTTGAAAATTACTGTTATTTATTCCTTTCAGCATTCCTCTTCTAACATTCTGTCATGTTCATCCCAATTTCTTATTTTCCACTCCTTAATTCCCCTAAACGCTTTTCAGTGCAGTCTATCTAGGATACTTTCAATGCCTCTTCTCATGATCATTTATTGGCAGGTATTGTGAATGAAGTAAGACACCTAGAAATACAAAAGTAATATCCACAATATCCTTTCTTCTTCTTTATATTCCTTCACTGGGTGTTTCACTTTATAGAAGCAGAGGATAAATCCAGAAACTGGTGTCATTTCTGGGATCAATGAGTCCTCTAAAACAGACTTGTGAAATGAGTATTAATCATGAATTGGGCGTCTTTATAAGTGGGCCTCCATAGTGAGTCCCTTGTAGATATTCCTCCTCTGTTTAATTTCTGGAGGGCATGCTCTGTCTAAACTGTCTATGGCCATATGTGCCCCTCTTTAACATTCAGACACAGGTACCTCAGATCTAGACCTTGCTCATGTGTGTTCTCCCAGCTGCGCATCTCCTTTCTTCACACATCGCTTGAACTAGTTAAGTATTTTACCCTGTCCCACCACTTTCAAATGCTTTCTTATAGCTCTTTTATCCCCGTGCACATTTTGAACATGGCACTACATGGGGGCTGCCTTCCTCAGCATGGTCAGGAGAGCAATACTCTGCACACAGAGGCCGGGACTATAGCAGCAAATGCCACAGTGTCTCCGCTCTCACCCCACACACGTCCTCCCCACTGGTGACAACTCTTTCCATGGTATTTTCCTCTTGGCTAACAGTGAATGTCCCTAAGTCAGGAATTGCTTTTTATGTTACTTAATATCCATATTTATATGGGAAATAGAGGAATCTTATAATTGTTTGTAGAATGAACAGGTTAGGGAATATATATATTGACTGCACAATGGCATAAGTTTTCCATATAAGATGTTAAGTCAGGGATTGTTTCTCACACACTAGCACCCAGAAATGCCCTCGTTGTCATCACAGTCTAGATATCAGGTCAAAGACAGCCCTAAATCCCAGAAATGAAAGAAGTCAGTGAGCTCTGGGTTGCAGAGGACCTTCAAGTCTCCAGCGTGAGGATTTTCCCATCTTCTGGGCTTCTTTAATGGTGCTTTGGGTTAGCTTCAGCCGGAATGCTTCTGAAAGATATCTTACAGCTCGAGCATGGCTGGGCCTTTGACCTTGTGTATAGATTTTTCTAAATGGGTGAGAGGAGAAGAATCCTAGAGCATTGGGAAATGAGATCTGTTATGTTGACACGAGCCTCATTGCGTAAGAAGGCCCGGCTGCTTGAATGTGTCCCTTTTCCTTTGCAGATATGTCTTCTCCAACGACAATGAAGAAGCCCGAGAAGCCACTGTTTAGCTCTACATCTCCACAGGATTCTTCCCCAAGGTTGAGCACTTTCCCCCAGCACCACCATCCCGGAATACCTGGAGTCGCTCACAGTGGTGAGGAGTTTCAAGTTCCTCTCGTCCACACAGCAAACACTTAAGGGTGGAGGGGAAGTTTATCACCGTTGCTAGGGTGACTATATCCTCTATATAAACATAGGAGGACCCAAAGGGAAGGTTGCTAATGGACAAAATGTTTTTTTCTTATCAGTTTATGAGAAGATATTTAATATTGTATAATTTAATAAATATTTTAATTTGGAAATTTAAAGTTTTAATCACAAGAACTTTTAAAAATGGGGTATATATTTACCCTAACTTTAGCCTGAGATTGGCCCAAGTTATGTATATTCTGCTAGAGAAAGATGGAGTTCTAAGTATATTGATGAGTTTTAGGGGTTTTTTTCATAGGAACCGAGAATATAGACTTTGCCCATAAATAAGTACTTACTTACTTACAAATAAAATTAATAAGATTATACATGCCAGATGTTCTATATGCACAAATATTTCTGTCTGGGGCACATGATATATCCGATAGTTTAGTTAAGAAGGATTATTCAACATTTCATATTGATATTTTAGTGAAACAATAGTATAACTTTGAAAGTTGAAGAACTATATAAATTAGTACTCAGTACTGTATGCTGGGTATCTGTTACTTTTAAGCCTCCTAGAGGCTAGTGGCTTGATAGTTTTACATATTACTATATTTATAATATTTTTTTGCTTCTCATTTGTAGTTAGATGACCCTTATCCTGCTGTATCTAGTTTTTAAACCTTCACTCATAAGTTGTAACATGAGGTTTATTGTTGCTTTCTTTAAAAATGCATAATCTTAGTTATAATTAGTGAAATTATGAAACTAAGAGGAATATAAAATTATAGTGGTAGAAGAATTTTCATATAAATTGTTTGATCTTCTGAGCCAAGTGGAAAAAAATCAGTAACCACTTCATAGATGTTGCATATTTGGCCATGATTAATTTCTAGGTCATGGCTTCTGCATATGACACCTGATTAAGAATTCATGCTTATAATGGTTTAAATAATTAAATGGTACTTTTATATATCATATAGATAATGAAACATGAAGCCGCTATATAAACTTTACATTTTGGTTTTCTGTCAAATACTTAAACACCCAAAATACCAGTCACATATACATTTAGTATATTTAATAGGTACCCACCTTGGTAAGAACCTTGGTCAAGGCAAAGGTTTTGCTCTTAAAGCACTATGACATAGTAGGGGTCAGTGGACCAATCCCTGCCCAAGTATATAATCTCAGTAGGACCAGGTTCTTGGTGGAGATGTCGATGCCTGAAAGAGATATGTTTTGCTAAATTTAAAAGAGTGGGCTATCCACAAGAAGGAACAACAAGCCAGCAAGATGCATGTTCCAGGAAGAGGCAACAATAGGTCCCAATATAGTATGGTCACTGTGGCAAGGAAATGCCACGTGGCCTAGGACCCACAAATTCTAGTAAGGCCAGTGATCCAGGAAAGGGGCCTGACACACAGGAGGACCCACACAAATCTGTGAAATTGCTGGGATGCTATTATAGAGACAATGTGAAATCAATTGCAGGTATTTCAGCAGGAAAGACACAGAATTGCAAGGGTATTTTTAAAAAGTCTTTGGTACAAAATGATAAAGGTAGTGCTGGAAGGAGTCAGACTAGAGGGAGAAAGACAATTAGGAAGAATTTTCAATAATGCAAGCAAAAATATGCAAATCTAGGTTTTCTCTCAAAATGAAGGAAAACATTTCTGTTGTGTAATTTCCTTTTCTGTCCTTTTCTTTCTTTTTTTTAATGTAGCATATCATTTATTATTTAGGGATGAATAGCCATATGTGGAATATTCACATCTATTCTTCTAACAACCCCATTCCTTTTTTATTTTTATTTTAAATTTATTTATTTATTAAGGATTTCTGCCTCGTCCCCGCAACCGCTTCCCATTTCCCTCCCCCTCCCCCGATCAAGTCCCCCTCCCTCATCTGCTCGAAGAGCAATCAGGGTTCCCTGACCTGTGGGAAGCCCAAGGACTGCCCACCTTTATCCAGGTCTGGGATTAAAATGACTTTTGTTTACAAGGTAGCCATTTTTACTTTTCATTTTGAAATAAAAAATCTAATCTGCTTATTTCAATCCCACTCCAGTTCCTGAGCTACCCATAGATTTGAATTCAAACTTGAATTGTTCCAGTTCTGTTAAAAAAAAGATTTTTTTTTCCTAAACTGCTGAGACCAATGAGTTCTTAAGCCCAGTGGTCAAGATGGAGCACCTGTGTATCTCACAGGGGTTTATGTGCATGTGGGAACAAAATCCATAGTTAAATGAGCAGATTAAGGTCATTTAATCACTTATGACTCTGGGTGTAGTTCATTGGTAGAAAGCACTTGCCTAGTGTTGTTGATGTCCTGGCCTTAGGGTCAAAAACAAAACAAAACACAAAAACAAACCTTTGACACTAAGCTAAAAAAAATGCTTGATTTTCAGTAAACATCTGTACTTCTTTAAGTTATGCTTCAAGTGAATGTACATCTTAAAGAAATTCGTGTAGGACTTCTGTTGTAAGAAATGTACAGTTGTTCCTCACAATGTGTGGAGAAGGGAAAAGGTTTAAACCATAGATTCTGTTGCCACGCCTCTGCAGGTTCCGAAAACCAGTCTCCTAGTCTTGTTGATCTAAATTTGTGGTTCTGCAGTATGCACTCCTAAATTTTCATATCCTGGGTGTTTTCTTTGAGGAAAATAGCAACGTGTCTTAAAACTCTCTCCTTCTCCCTCTTTCTTTTTGTCATAATTATAAAGCTGAAGATGATCATTCTAGACAATCGTCACTTGTAGTCACGAAGAGAACTTAGCTCGCACATTGTTTCCCAAACCATGGAATACGGTTTTTATTTTCTTATGACTTGGATCAAAATTTCAAAGCAATAGAGATTTAGGCTTTACTTTTATAAATTTGTTGTCTTAATTAATAATTATATAATTATTTCCAGGAGCTTTATAGAGATAATGGCTAAAATATTTTTCTCCATCTTTAAGTTTTATTTTTCAGAACTAAACATTATGATCATACTATTGTGGAAATCACCACTGACTATGATCTACAGCACATATAGTATTTCTTTCTGACAGTAGAACATACGATTGTAAAATACATGGGCAAATTCATATGTTTACCTATATAACAATTTAAGAGTTTTGTGGGTTTTTTTTTTAGATTGTACCTCAACAATACCTTTGAACTTCAATATAGTAACAGCTGGAATCAGATTAAAAATAGCTATAGGATGAAGATCTTTTGGTTTGGATAGGAACCATCTTCATTAGGAGGAGGAGTCCAGCCCATGTGCTAATACGCCAGAGTATTTACACAGTGAGCAGACCATTATTCATGACCTGACATTCTGGTCTGTTAACTGTTAGCTTTCATTTTAAACAACTGTCAGCTAGGTTGTATAAGGAGATGATTTATTTGAAATTGAATTGCATTTCTATTATGAGTTATAGTAAAAAAATTGGTGTGTCTTTAATTAATGCGATAGCTTTGTCTGATTTTAGGGAGACAAACACTTGTAATCAAAGACTATATCTTGAATGGAAAGGAATTTGCTGAAAGAAATACTTTGTCTAGTTTTACCATACAGGAGAATTTTCTTTTTTCTTTTTTTTAATTGTTCTTGGGTCTGGAAAGAAAGATGTGTTGGTTACATAGGGTGGCTTTGTGCCTATATGTCCCTCGTGGTACTAGCATTGGGAAAGCACACTGAAACGTGGTTTAATTGTGGGAGCAAGGGAATGAGCGGATCTGTTTTCTAGCACTGGAAGGGAATGAAGCCGGAAGGCAGTCTGCTGACCAGCGACCTCTGTGTTTTTCTCTTGTGTGTTATGCAGTCATCTCAACTCGAACTCCACCTCCACCTTCGCCGTTGCCATTTCCGACGCAAGCTATCCTTCCTCCAGCCCCGTCAAGCTACTTTTCTCATCCCACCATCAGATATCCTCCCCACCTGAATCCTCAGGATACTCTGAAGAACTATGTCCCTTCTTATGACCCATCCAGTCCTCAAACCAGCCAGGTAAAAATAAGAGGAAACAAAATAAACATAGTGCCCGAGGGGAGTGGGACGGGCCTCGTTCTCAGGCACCAGGGTTAGTCAGAGTATGCCTGGAACATCGAGCCTTGCAGTCTGTCTTCAGAAAGTCTCTTGGTGACTCAATACGTTTTTCTTATTTAAAGGTGGCTGAATGACAGGTAGGAAGTGTGTTGCCCCAGAGGGATAAATTTGTGAAGATGTTTTGGGTTTTATGTTTTTGGATTGAAAGAAAGTTTATGCAGAATGTTCAATGCCAAAAACACGCTAAGCTGGAGTTCACACCTCTGAAATACCTGGTTTGACATAGAGACAAAGTGCTTATTGCAGGCAGGAGCAAGGTATGTGCTAAAATAAACACCCACAAAAGAACTTACAGCTGTATTTATAGGCCAGTTACTCGGCATTAAAATCAGCTTTGGTAATGTAAACATTTTCAGCCGCCTTTGATGACTCCTGACTCTTTGCAGAAACATGACTTACATTTCATAATGAATGGCATTTCCAGCTCTTTCTGTCTCTGTCTCTCTGTTTTTATCTATCATCTGCCTATCTATCTATCTATCTATCTATCTATCTATCTATCTATCTATCTCTCAGCATCCCTTCAGGGATTTGTTGTATAAGTTCAGCAACTCTTACACATCCTCACTCTGGATCATGGTTTCTCCTGGTGAGTGATCACTACACAGGGGTTTCTCACAGGAGAATTTTGCACAGCCAGCTAAACAGTCTTTGTGCCAGTAATGAGTTTATCAGTAGTTACAGCAATCAGGTCTCTAAGGTAATTTTGATCTTAAGGTACTAGTATCAGGCTGTGTTGTTTTATCTCAAAAACCCCTGTCCACTTCTAACAACTTTTAAGACTTCGGGGGATTTATACGATGTTTTATGAAACCGCTGTTAAGTTGTGCTAAAATCAGAGTACATAAATATATGCATATCAATTGTAAAGTTTTTTTGTGAGCACTTTTGTGTTACTTTGTTAAATGAAGCACGATGGTCCCTTCTGGATGTTTGGTTTTCAACATAATATACTGTACCTCTTGTGTGGCTTAGAAAGTTACCTTTGCTTTTAGTTTCACTAACTAATATACGAAACTAAATATTAACAATTGAGAGTTAAACATCTATTTGTGCTATAGAAAAAAATGCCCATGTGGTGTGATGATGATGAGTCTAAAGACAATTGAGTAAGGAGTGAGATCTTAGGGTACCAGTTCAGAAATGAAATTTGCTCTCTGAGTATCAATTCAAAACTCTCTGTTCCATAGAGTATTTTGCTAGACTCATCTGGGAACCGTGCACACAAGGTCTGATTTCAATTTGTGTAGAATTTCCATGAATAACAAAGTCTAATTAAGACATCCATTAAAAGTCCTTAACGTTAATTCAGTGTGGAAAATCTTAGAGTTCCATTGGATTTTTTTTTAAACTGATGTCTTAATTAGGCACTGTTAAGGGGGAAATTATGCAAATTAAAATCAGGCCTTAGTGTTACGCATTTCTTTAATTATTCAGTGCTTGTTTTACATATATTTCGATTTCTTTATATGTTAAAAGTGCATATTAGGTGATAATCTGCCGCTTTTGGTCACAGTTTTTCCTGTATGTTTTCAAAGTAAATGTCCAGCTTCTAAAGGAGCATCCTTCTTCCATCTCAGTTGAAAGCCAAAAGCAAAAAGAAAATTTCAGAATTGTATGTACTGGGAAGAGCATAGTAAACAAGGTAGCCTATTGCCAGTGCTGTTCATCCTCAGACAAGATACCCTTTCTTTTCTCTATCCCCCAGCAGCTGGAAAGGTAGAGACTTGAGAACCTAGCTGCACTCATTTAACTGGTGGAAAACTTGAAGTGAAACCTTCATTTGGCCCAGGTTTTAGAAACGTCTGCATGGAATTGGGTGCTCTCTTTTGTCCCCTCTCCTCCTTTTGAATGGGAGAATACTGTCCGTTCGTAGCCATTCAATTCCTGTGGACGGACTGTACACTGCAAAGCTTATCTTCTGTGGCAGTGTTTACTTGAGATTCCTGCCATCTGACTCCTGCGCCAGGTAGATATGAACTGTCTTGGTGAACATTATGCAGAAGCACTTTTGCCATTGACTGTACCATCAGCGCGAAAATGAGAACTTCCTTCTTCCAAGGACATACACAAAGCAGTCATTTATAATGTTCCCATAGCCAGAAGCTGATAATGTCTATTTTAAGGAACAAACTACCACTGACCTAGAAAGAAAAATGTGTCTTTATAATGAATGGCAGAAATGTTTTTTTTTTTTCTAGGAACTGTTGTATCTGCTTTGATGTTTAATTCCAAACTCAAAGCCCGTTCATTTGCATTTCAGGGTAGATCAGTTGCTCTGTGCCTTCCAGAGCTAAAGATGGGGGGACTGACTACTGCTTCCGGGCTTCACCCAGCGTCATGCTAATCTGGATTCTTAAGCAACTCCGATGCCTTCTCCTCCCCACAGCAGTTTGGAGATTGTTCCCATTACTACTGCTCCAGTTATAGGGAGACAGTCATGCTATTCAGTGGAATATTTTGAAACAAATTGGTTTAAAGATACAATTTTCCAATAGGCTTTCATCAAGGAAAATTCCAGTTTATTTTCCTTATATATAGTTAAATAATTAAAGTTATTCATGATGAATAGTCAGGATGTTCAAAGTCAATTTAAAAAAAAAGAATAGAGGAACTAGTCCCTCTGTTACCTACCCAAAGACTCAGTTCATGCCTCTGAGTCAAAATATTTAAGTACTGTTAGCTATCTTTCCCCAAAGAAATATCCAGTTATAATCTATATATATGGATTTAGATACATATTGTTTCACTGATCTCTTTGCTTTGGGAAGCTGGGATTATAAAGACCATATATTTGTGGAGAATACTTTCCAGAAAATTCTTAGAAAGATCATGCAGTGAGTAATAGTTCTATGAGTATAACCAAAAATAGACTTCTCTACCTGGGATAATGTAGTCCAGGCTTTCGTCAGACAATGCACCTTGTAGGGGTTTGCTCCTACCACAGTAACTATTTTTTCTATCGAGTGGTCAAAACTCAAGTAATAGTATCTTTCCTGAAACTGGACAGGGAGTTTTCTTCATTAAATCTCACAAACATCCATGCAACTCTTCATGCACAGTGATTGAATCATAGCAAACAGCAGCATGCATTGGATGCTCCTCGCATCCTCTTTGGTTCATCCTTGTCCCTTCCTGTGGGGGTGTTTTATTCCTAAGCATAATGTCTGACGTCTGCAGTTTATAAATCTGTGTGTACCGGAAATCTTAGATGCTTTACAACTCATTCTATCTGCTTGTGGTAGCAAATTCTTGAAAGTGAACTGGATATCCTAGAGTCTAAATTGCCTGGTATGTGTGTCTGCAATACCTGTGTACGAGCAAAAGCTAGAGTTTTATATGCAGAAGAATGGACTATTGACTGTAAACGAAGGAAACTATATAGAGTTGAATATGTTTCCCATCCTTGACTTTTTGTATCGCTCTATCAGTGACACCATTGTTTAGAAGTATTGTACTGAGAGATAAACTGAGCATGAGCTGCAGATCATAGGATTGCTGGGTTCTTACTGTAGAGAATTCAGGAAGGAATTCCATTGTAGTTTGAGCTAGGCATCAGTCTCACTCAGTGTGGGTTTTCTGGCCTACTAATGAGAGGGTCAGGCCGGCTGATCTTTTAGGGGTATTGTAAAGAGGAAATCCCCTGTCCAAAGTGCACTAATGGTCAAGTACCATTGCTGCTGCTTCTTACTACTAACCATTGATTGGCCTTCAGCTCAGACTCGAGAGGGACTGCATGGCAACTCTCCACCCTGTGCAGAATCCACATGCATGCACCGCGTGGAGCTGTTGGACAGGACGACTGCCTTTTGGATCGCTTCACCCGGCATTCTGTTTTTGTTTTGTAGCCTAACAGCAGTGGTCAAGTAGTAGGGAAAGTGCCTGGCCATTTCCCTCCTGTCTTGGCACCCTCTCCCCATCCCAGTGCAGTGCGGCCTGTGACCCTGACCATGACAGATACTAAACCCATCACTACATCCACTGAAGGTGAGGCAGCTTCACCTACAGCAACCAGTAAGTATTTCCGTAGGAAATGAGAAATGTCCATCGAAGGCACCATTGGATCTATGATCCAAGGTGGAGAACACGGGGACTTTTCCGGCTACCTGAGCAGATGGAGATTTCTCATTTAAGTGGAGCTAGCAGGCATGGACGTGGCCTAGCTGTCACATGCTCTCTCTTATCAAATTTCCGTTAGGGCATCATATTTGATAAGGGAGAAGCATGCTTTTCTTTTTTTTTGAGCAAACAGACCACAACAAAAGTGATTACCCATGCCTGCTTGTTCAAGGTAGACATTGAAGTTACACTGATAACACAACACAGTATACAAAGGTTTTCCATCACCAGAAGAGAGATTAGATAATTATCACTTATTGGAGCATTTCTAGAAATCAAACCCCTCCCCCAAGTGAATAGAATCAGTGCCTCTGCAAGATAATTACATGTTTACCTCACTGTAGGTCATGCCATTGTGAGAAGCAGTCACACATTGCACTGAGCAGGCAAGGACACTGTGAAGCATAGGGTTAGGTATGTGTAAGGTCCCTACACGTTCATTATCTACAGCTTTTTCTTTAAATCTTTCAGTTGTTTTTGCTAGCACCTGACAATCAGATGCTGGGCGTGTTAGCATGGCCACCGCATTGTAAATGGTAGCATCCTTTTGTAGCACACATCCGTAAGTCAAATGGTTCCTCCAAGTTAGCATATAGAACATTCAGAATTAGATGAGGAATTCATTTTCAGTTGGCTTCACCCAAACTACCAGCTTCTTAAAGGGCACTGATGTGCACAGATGGGCAACTGATGAGGTTTCATCCGGGAGGCACTGGCGTGTTCCATCACCATGATGTGTTTCTCAGATTCTCATTGTTTTTCTTGCAGAGAGCAAAGAAAACCTTTGTGCTCTGGAAATTCCCTCGTGGAATTACACCATCAGAGACATCATTGGCTCTCACTCTCTCTCTTCTCTCTCAACCATTGGAAAGACATTCTTTTTTTTTTTTAATAATTTCTAAAAACATATAAAGAAACTATCCAAGAAAAAAAATGGGCAATCCCTTAGGTGCACAGTGACTGTTCAGCACTTATTTTATCAGACTTCATGAGCCCGACAAAGCAGTAAGTCCAAAGAGGCTTAGGATGTACATGACTGTTCAGTGATGCTTGGTAATCCACTCACTGGCAAAGAGTCCTACCCTAGGAGCCTTTCCTAAGGGCAAAAATGGGTGAGACTCCTCTTCTGGATGGTTTCTGTGCATAGTACAGTCACTGAGACGCTATATGCATGCTTTTACAGTGAGCGTCACAGCCCCTTTGTGCTAAGACACAGTTTAAATAAAAGCACATAAAATATGTTCTTCAAAGGCAGTCAAAAAACAACTTCAGGATAAATGCTCAAAACCAAAGTTCCAGAAACTTCTGGCGCCTACTTTTATGCTGATATCCGTACATCAAATTCAGGGGAAGATCCAGTGCAGATAACCAGAGCCCTCTCACAGGTGTCCCTTTAGTCTCTTTTATAATGAATTGCTTGTATACTCGGGCTGAGGTTGTTCAAAAAGAGACACGATTTGACTAATAAAATTTCTAAAATATTCTAAAGGAATATCTAGCTTATATAAAGATGGCTTCATTGGCCTTTCTCCACTTCTACATAGAAATACTGAATAACACGACTGATAATATGAAACTAGATGTTGATTTTATACATCAGTAAAGTTAACAGAGACCAAGGAGGCCTCTCTTTAATGATTGGAAAACAAACAACAAACAAACAGCCCAGACATGGTGTTCACATGGTGAGAGTAAGGCTCCTCTCTCACTTCCCAGCCTGTGTATTGAGTTCTCAAGGCCTGGTGAGGAGTGGGGAATCCTGGCTGCTAATGGCATCCTTGCCTTGTTTAGCAGGATGACCTGTGAGCATCCTCAGTGTTTTAAAAACTTGACCTAAAAGTCTCCAAGTTCAAATGAAGCATTGAAAAAGTGTACATGAAAAATTAATATATTGGTTTATAAAAGCTAGCCTATTTAAACTCGGTGTCTGAATTCCTAATTAATTATCCTGGGTTTCATCCTTTCAGACCTTGTAGTGAAACATATGGTACACACTCAGCTTTTCTGTTCAGCCGGAGATGGAGACATAGGCTTGATTCTTTTGCTCCTTGCAAAAGGTAGATTTAAAAACGAGAATCTTTCTGCGGGAAGTTCACCCCACCAGAAAAGCACTTGTACAAAAAAGTAAAGAGCAGACACCTGCATCTACTCTACCTGGTGACCAAATATGTCATAGGTACCATCAGTTCCTCTCTGGCCAATCACAAGCAATTGATAGTTGCTTTTACACTAACAGAAAACGAAGGTTTTTGTTTTGTTTGTTGTTTTTGTTTCTTTGTTTGTTTATTTGTTTGGTCAAAAATGTTTCTACCAAGCTGGAGGACATTCCCCATATTAGATAAAAGATGGAACTAAGTCATTCCATGTGATGTAATCCAACTGGGCTCCTCTTTTAGAAAAGTATTAGTGGATTTTTTAGGTGTTTTTTTTTTTTTTTTCGGTTACACAGTTAAGTCAAACATTTTTTTCATCTCATACTCATCAAGCGCATCTGCTTAACCCTGTCATCAACAGCTGTCACTTCATCTACTGTCACTGTTAGGATCCCAGGCAGCCATCACTGATTATCCCCCTAGACGCAGGTCTAAGGTGTCTACGATAAAAGACTTCAGCGTAGCCGAGCCTTGACATCTAGACAGTACCACACCGTGGCACACAGTAAGGATGCCCACACCTAGCATAGCTTGTGGTTCACTGCATAGATTCTTTTTTCTTTAAGGGGGGGGGGAATAGTTGATTTGAATCAATGATTTTGAATCAATTTCTTTTCTGTTGTTTGCGATTCGCTCAGACAAAAGAGAAGAGAAAGAGAAACACCTTCTTGGTAGTGCCCCCCACTTCTCTGGGTTTCTTATACATGGACAGGGTGTTCGTTCTGACAGTTCACGATTTTTATCTTTGTTTTTGTTCTTCCTTAATCAGCCTACACAGCCTCAGGCACACCTCAAGCCAATCGATATGTGGGACTAAACCCAAGAGACCCATCCTTCCTGCATCAGCAACAGGTGGGCACGTTTCACCCAGGTGGAATGGGGTAGCCACGCTTTGCTTCGGCGCTTTTCTCCGTGTTGCCTCTCAGATCTGGATTCAGGATGGGGCTCACAGGGCTTCTGAGACCAAAAATTGATCATTTTGTTTTCCAAATTTTTTTCCTCATTTATCCTTCGCTTCTCACCTGTCTGACGTTTCTGAAACTGGCTCACCGCCTCTCCCGTCTTCATAGCACCATAGTGACAGCCCCCACAGACACTGGGTTCCAGCTAGACAGTATTGTTCCGTCTCCCTGTATACTGAGGACTTCCTAGCCACTGTGGCTTTCAGGCGCTGACATGGAAAAGCCAGCTAGAGTCAGTACGTAATCTGTTTGGACCAGTTTTGTTTTCTCCAGATGTTTCCCCCCTCCTTTATATTTTAGTCCAGGAGGAGGACGTATTGTAGCTGAGCTCACAGGCGAAACATTACTCCTACCCTAATACATTTCAATTCCTTCACTGATTTCAGATGCAATGAAACACTTTTTTGGGGGGGGGGAGAGGCGATTCTGCCTTCTTACATCATTTATGTTTCAAGTAGGATTTTAAATTTCACATCCCATTAATGCTGTAAATTTAATGCAAATGAAGTGTTTACACAAACTGTGAAAAACTACAGCCAGGATTAATGGTGGCTTATGAACAAATTTGCCACAGTCGAAAGCATGAACCGCACCAACAGAGAAATCCCATGATTCTAGTTATAGGGTCACAGGAATACGTCTACGCACTCCAGCTGTTCTTCAGTTTGGCTCCAGAGCAGTTCGAAGTGCACAGTATGTAAAACATTACATAACAAAAGTAGGCCCCAGTACAGAAGACAGAGCTGGGAATAAATACCAAGTTGTCTCTGTGTTTAGATGAGGTTTATATATGCATTAAGCGTGCGAAGTTACTTGTGCCCGCATCCTCAGTTCTACAGTGGCCTCTCCGTTTCCCAGGCCTTCCCTGTCGCAGGCCAAGGTGATAGTCTGTGTACAGTAAAGGTCACCACATGCGGCGTTCAGAGCAAACCATAAAGATGATAGCTCATTCAAGATACTTGACATTTTGCAAGGTTAAAATAACAACGCAGAACACAAGAGAACTGACTGAAGACATCTGTGTATAGTTAGGGAAATACCAAATAATAATTAGTGGAATAATTCTCTGGAATGTTGCTTTTTTTTTTCACCTCGAAAATTACTATAATATGAATGTGTTACCACTGCTATGGTTCTACTTAACAAATGTATGTGCTCTTTATGTTTTTAAAACATATGCAGGATTTATAAGTTTTGGAAACTTGTTTTTTTAAAAAAAATTATACATTTTTTTCAGAAATATTTTTGTCATTATTCTTTATGACACCTCTCTAATTTCCAGTTAATTTTTAATTCAAAAAACATGCCTCCGTTATTCAACCTTTACCCCGAGCACATTTAGAATATTATAACCAATCCCTTCCATTGAGAAACAATTGTCCTCTTTGTCCTAGCCTAGGGCAGCTTTAGTTTGTATCAATTAAGATTATTGTCAGGGTCTCCTGTAATCACAAAAGTGCATTCATACCAAACTTACCTCTCTCTTCACATTATCTAAAAATGCATCAAGAAAGCTCAGCACAATGAAAATGTGGACCTCAACTGAGGGCAGAAATCTGAGCATCTTTTACTCTGCGAAATGTTTATGACACTTTCTTGTAAAGTCTGACATTTGTTTTTTAAGTTTTGAGTAAAGACCATTTACAATGTGAACATATTTTCTGAGTTCAAACATGGTTGCTCTTTATGAATATATGGCATGTATTAATCCTTGGAAGCAAAAAGCCATATACACCACAGTTAAACATTTTAAATACAGAGCAGATAGACAATTTATCGCTTACTTAATAAGATTTTCACTTAAAGAAACTCAGTTTGCCAAATTCATAATGAACTATGATGTTGAGGCATGAAGAAAACACCATAAATGTATATCATATGATGTGCGCGTATCACTTAACTGAAGCACCAGTTAAAATCTATTATCTTTACCTTTCAAATTAAGAGCAGCAGAGACAAAGCTGCATATTCAACTATACAGAGAATGGAGGGAGCGAAATAGTTTAAATGACTTCAGGAAAGGTTATTCTTCCTCCAGCAGAAATGGGATTGATTTACTGTGTTCTCTCATTACTTTACGAAGATTTAAAAGAGACCGCTCTTCTAAGGGCAGCTCCTAAATGCATTTGGTTTAAAGCACTCAGTGATGAATGCAGAGGAAAATCGAGGGGTACATGAAATAAAAGTGATCAATCATTTTATATTAGCTAAGAGAAATTTCAGAATTGGAAAGGCAGTGGCTTTAGTCTGAAGGAGCTTTTTAAACATTCCCCATAACCTTTCCTAGACATGACCCCTTCAAAATAAATATTGTCACCAGGTACATTCTTCAGTTCATGTGGGCTGTTTTAGAAAGATTTATCCTTTCAGCTTATGAAAAATATTGATGTGCATTGTTGCATGCTATTTTCCCTTAGAAAAGAATTTTAATATAGCTTACATAAATTAAAGTTAACAATAAATTTAAGATTATTGGATATTTTTGACTGTCTTCTAATAACCTCCCTACAAAATGACATCACAGAAAGACTTTCACCACAGCTGTTCCTCACACTAACATTCCCACATGGAAATGTAAAATATTAAGGACATCCAGACTGGCAGATTTGAACAGTGAAGTGTGTGCTTTGATGCTTAGTGGCTTGTTCCACACAGTTATTAGCGGTCACACGTTGTGAGCCCCTATTTTATAGTGATCACTCCTGACTAATGCCAGTTTCCTACCGTCTGGAAATATTCGTAGTTGTATTTGTTCTGATGTTGGAATTTCACCTAAACATAAATGTGATAATTGCATTTAAGCTTAAAAACTAAAGTCACTTAATTATGGCAAATATTTCAGAAATGTTCACATAGAGTAGTTGCTGACTTGTCATAAAGCTAGTCCTCCCTGTGAAGCATAATACTCAGTTCAAAGAAGTGATCAGGACCTGCCTTTATATCTCCTGTCATAGTTTTGGGCATAGTCCAAAGCCTGGCACTGGTCTGTCTGAGGACTCATTGGCATAGGAGAAATCTTCACACCACAACTTCGACAGGCTCTTCATTCTGTTGTTACCCCTTCTGTTGGAAAATGGTGCGGCGGCTTGAAGAATTCTGGGATCCCGCTCTAGCAACTGGGGCTCTGCTCTCTCCTGCCCAGTGCTTTGTCCTCATCTGGATTACTTTCAGAATGCTGAGGACATCTTCTCTGACTTCCCTGTGAAGAAGTCCCGAGCAATGAAATCCTTTCCCTGCTTCCTACTTTGCATGCGCCCTGTCCACCTTCCTTTCTGTCGACACTGAAGCAGCCCCCATGTCCCAAACTTTATCTACTTGAAAGAAAGAGCTTTCTGGGAGAATGTTAGCTTTTACTAAGAAAGAATAGAAACTATTTTATAATTCAGTCTAACAATGTTAATGTAAATGGGTATTAAAAGAAAACTCAGTTAAATTAACACCAGTTCTTTATATGCTAAGGTTCAAAAGTTTACCATTTTGAGGACTTACTTGCTCTCATAATAAGTAATTAAAAATAATCTAGCTTATTTATCATCAATTACAGTTTGGTGAAACATTGCTTTCACAGCAGAAACCTTTAGTAATATACATCAATATCACAAAATGTATTGTAAATTGGAGCTATAAGTTTATAACTAAGAAACCTCCTGTGTAGCCAGCCATAAGAGACCTACCATTCCAACCAGCCATTCAATTCCACCCTGACCCTGGATACAGACTGGAGATTGTAGGTAGGATGAAGAGGAAGTTGCTTTGCTTTCCTTAAATGAGGCAGAAAGTCAAGTAAGCTCCTATTTGTAAGAAGTAAGGTTTGTTCTCGCTTGATGTCTCAGAGCCATGTCCTGACCAGGTGCTCTCTGTGACAAGCTCCCTTGGCTGAGTGCCTTGTCCCTGCGTGGGACTTAATGGCGCTTGAACTTCCGCAGTTACAGCTCCTGTGTGACTGTACAACACAGTTATTTCAAGTTCAATTATCGACTGGTTATGCTGAAATATTTTCAACACTTTTCTGGGTAGAATTTGGAAATACTTTTCATTACATTAATGATTTCTGTTACACAAAATAGCTCTTAAAGAAATTGCCTCTGTGGGATTTTTTAAACTAAGATATGAAGTGAAATCCTCTTATATTTATATATTTGTCCTGGCAAATGACAAAGCCAAAACTTGGAACATAAAAACTATTGAAAAGCCAATCATTAGAAGCAAGCAATTGAAAAAGGACACAAGTAGACTATCAGCAAGCTTCTCCGCAGAGCCAGGAAGCAAGCTATCAACACTCAGGCCATTCTTATTGTGACTGCTATCATAATAGACAGCCTGACGCAAAAGCCTGTCACGTGACTTCTGGGTAGATATGCAAATGGTGAGAGGTCACTTTTCACATAGGCCTGCTGAAAAGGAAACACATTTAAAGGAAGTTTTAATCAATCTAATGGCTATGCCAATGTTTAGCTTTGAGGCTAGTTTTGAAATTGAAACAAAAAATCCTTCCATCATCTGTCTGTCTTTTATTATTAATTCCTTTATATGCTCTTCCTGGTTATCAAAGACAGGGTGCTAGGATACTCGAATTAATGTCAAAATAAAATTATTTAATTCACCCTTAAATTCCAATCAATAAAAACACAAGGGGAAATTGTCTTCTTTCCTGAAACAAGAGCTTTCAGAGGGAAAAATTCTTAAGATGATATTTACACACTTTTGAGCTGCATGTGGAACTCAGTATAGGCAAAAGAAAATGACAGTAATGATGGAGGAACAGTGACAGGCATGGTGCGGGAACAGTGATAGGCATGGTGCGGGAACAGTGATAGGCATGGTGCGGGGACAGTGATAGGCATGGTGCGGGGACAGTGATAGGCATGGTGCGGGGACAGTGATAGGCAT